CTCTCCCCCAGCCCCGCTCGCCCAGCCCTCCACCCAGGAGCCCGGAGGCGGCGGTGGCAGTGGCGGGAGCAAGGATGCTCCCTTCCTTCAGCTCCCTGCCAGAGGCTGAGCTGGAGAGAATGTGTGTGTGTGTGTGTGTGTGTGTGTGTGTGTGTGTGTGTGTATGTGTGTGTGTCTGTATGCATGCGTGTGTGTGTATGTGTGTGTGTGTGTGTCTGTGCACCTGTGACTGGTTCTGGAGCAGGAGCCTCTGAGAGGGTGCAGGCTGGCTCAGGGAAGCCTCCTGTCAGGACCAAGGCTAGTGCAGCCTCTCAGATACACTCCTACTCCCACAGCCACACACACACACTCACACACACACACTCACACAGACACACACCCACTCACACAGACACACACCCACTCACACAGGCACACACCCACTCACACAGACACACACCCACTCTCACAGATGCACACACCCACTCACACACACATACTCACACAGATGCACACCCACTCACACAGATGCACATACCCACTCACACATGCATACCCCCACTCTCACAGACACACACCCACTCTCACAGATGCACACACCCACTCACACAGACGCACACACCCACTCACACAGACACACACTCACACAGACACACACACACCCACTCTCTCTCTCTCTCTCTCACACACACACACACGCACACACACACACACACACACACACTCACAGGGGCATGCGGAGGCCCCCTTATTCCACTCAGACACATGAAAACCTGGACATCCTTACCACTGTGCACGGGCCACACTCACACCCATCCCAGCATACACACCCACAGGAGCCATGGGGTGTGGTCTAGTCTAGTGTGTGGAGGCCTGGAAGGTGAGGAGGGGGAAGCGGTGGGTCTGGTTACCTGGAGAGATGGGGTGCACAGCCAGGTCCTTCTCAGGCAGGCAGAGGGAGAGCCCCCCAGGCAGCTTTCCTGGGCCACAGCAGAACTGAGCAGAGAGGAGCTGCCTGGGGCTCAGGACAGTGCGAGAGTCAAAGCTTCTGCAAATGGAAGGGAGGAGCCGCCAGGGCAAGTGGAGCTGTGGTGGCTCAGAGGAGCCACAGAGGCCTCACAGCCCCAGGAGAGCCATGTCTGAGCAGAGGGAACTGGCTGCCCTTTCCCCACCTCCTCCCGGGCTCCCAAGGTGGAGGGGACCCCCACCCTCAGGTCAGGAGAGGAAAGCAGTGGTATCTGCTGTGCCCACTGGGCTGGGCCCCTGGTGAGCAGGAAGGCTGTGGGCCTAAAGGGACAGATTGTTACTAAGAGTCGTTGGGCACAGAGAGTGCAGGGCTGGCATCTCAGGCGGAGTTAGGTACTGGAATGTGGTTGTGAATTCTGTTGTTTGAATGTGAATAACCCCAAACAAAAACAAAACCCACGTGATGATAATAAAGCAGTACCACTCATAGAGGCTCAATAAATAATTGTTCAAAACCCTATACACTGGATTGGTCTGCAGTCAGCTAGTCGGAGATGGACACTGGGGCTGAGGAGGGGAGGCGATGGACTTGACAAAGCTCCCTGTCCATCAGACACCTCTGTAACCACAGCAGTGCCGCAGGCTGTAGCCCTGGCTGCTCCCTCTGCCTGGAATGCTCTTTGTCTAGAAAGCCACATTAACCTCCTGCTTCACCCACTTCTTTAGGTCTTACCTATTGTCCCCTTCTCATAGAGGCTAACCCTAAATATCCTATTTAATCGAACTCTCCACTCCTAAACGCTCAGTCCCTCTGCCTCTCCCCTGCTTCTTTTCCTCCGGGGCTAGCACTCTGGCCTACCATATACTATTTATCAACTTAGTTTCTCATCTTTTCCCCTCTTAGGGGCAGGCCCATTGGCATGTTTTGCTTAATGGTGACATCACTGGCTTTTACACAGATCCTGAATGTTGGACTTTCCAGAAGCCTTGAAGAATGAAAGGCCCCTCTAACGCGCACTGGCTGGGGCATGCAGGGCACGGGAAGGTGTGTTGTTCTTTGCGTGTTTCAGCCACAGGTCACAGCGTGGATCCACTAGGTTTGGGGATGGGGCACGACCTCAGACTCAGAATGTACGACCCGATGTGACGGCCACTCTGTGATGAATTGTGTGGCGTCTGGGCTGCAGCTAGACTCCTTATGAAACTAGAAGCGTGGCCAGGCAGAGGTACTGGGCTGCAGGGACTCCTAATGAGCCTTATTGTGTCTGAGCCTCCATTTGCCCACGTATAGACTGGGGATGAAGGACGCTGAGCCACGAGAGGGGGCAGGGGGCATGTGCAGGCTGCCCTGTGGATATGGGGACGGGCCTGCGGCCTCTCTTTGGCAGCCAGTTTCCCAGGAAATGGAGGGGCTCTCCATTGGATGGAAGGACTGTAAGGCCTAGGACAGGCCTTTGGTCCCAGGGAAAGGGCAGGTGAGTCCACATCAAGGGGGGACTTTGCCCCCTGACTGGCTCTTTGGGATAATGGGTGCTGCACTGACAATGTGGGTGGCTAAGCTCACCCACCCATTCATTCTTTCAAAAGACTTTTCCTGGATATTTAATGTGTGTTTATCAGGACTAGACACATAATTGCAGAGCTTGATGCAAAAATAAAAATATTCAAAAATTAAAAATTCCAGATGCAAACTGGTGCATTCCTCAAAAAGTTAAAAATGGAACTCCCATTTGACCCCGTCATCCCACTCCTAGGACTATATCCCAAGAAACCAGAAACACCAATCAGAAAAGATATATGCACCCCTATGTTCATAGCAGCACAATTCACCATAGCTAAGATTTGGAAACAGCCTAAGTGCCCATCAGCAGATGAGTGGATTAGAAACCTGTGGTACATCTACACAATGGAATACTACTCTGCTGTAAAAAAGAAAGAACGCTTACCATTCGCAACAGCATGGATGGACCAGGAGAGCATTATGCTAAGTGAAATAAGCCAATTGGAGAAAGATAAATAACACATGATCTCACTCATATGTGGGATATAATGATCAACATAATTTGATGAAGAAGAATAGATCGACCCAGAGACAAATGGTAGGGGAGGTGGCATTAGAGAGCAACCAAAGGACTTGTACGCATGCATATTAGCATAACCAATGGACACAGACACTGGGGCAGTGGGGACTTGCCCTGGGTGGGAATGACTTGGGGGGTGGGGGAGTGTCAATTGGGGAAAAAGGAAACATATGTAAAACTTTAGACAATAAAATAAAAAAAGAAAAAGAAGGAAAAAATAAAATTAATCCCATAATCTTTTCATTTGATACCTAAATATAAATCCAAGGTTAGGATAGTTTTAAAAATGTATTAGCAAGGTTCCTATATAGTTATGCTGAAAAAAGGGAAAAGGGTAGTGTTGCCATCTAAATATCACTTAAGTTATTACCTAGATTCTGTCATCTGTGGAGTGGGTGGTATGTATCCATTCCGCTTCAGAGATGCCAACAAACCTTATTTACTTTCCGACATTGTTGTTTTGCAAAACACTGAGGATTCTCATGACTTCCACGGTATCAAAGTGTCAGTGTGATGTAACTTTTTTGGAAATACCGTGTTGAGGTGTGTTCCAAAGACAGTCCTGTAATTTGAAGGGCAGGTTCTGAAGTTATCTGAAGTACACATTCTAATGTGATTTCTGAAGTAAAATTACCATATGTTTTTTGGCTTCTGTAATCAAGTTGGGAAGGTTTGTGCTGTATTCCACTTTGTGTGAGTAAAGTTGTGAATAGAAAATTTTTTAAAAAATTAAGAATTCCAGCCGAAACCGGTTTGGCTCAGTGGATAGAGCGTCGGCCTGCGGACGCAAGGGTCCCGGGTTCGATTCCGGTCAAGGGCATGTACCTGGGTTGCGGGCACATCCCCAGTAGGGGATGTGCAGGAGGCGGCTGATCGATGTTTCTCTCTCATCGATGTTTCTAACTCTCCATCTCTCTCCCTTCCTCTCTGTAAAAAATCAATAAAATATATTTAAAAAAAAAATTAAGAATTCCAGGAATAGCAGAGCTTTACACTAAACACTGAGCCCTGCTAAGTGTGGGGCCCTGTGTGACTGCCCAGGCCGCACATCATGAGCCAGTCCTGCTTAAGGGACACAGGTGGGTAAGAAGAGCTCACCTTTACGAGGGGTTTATTAGGAGAAACTGTGTCTTATCTCATCCTCATGCTTACACTGGAAGGAAAGGACAGTTACTAGTCCCATTTTACAGCTGAGAAAAGCAAGTCACAGAGAAGTTTGGCAATTTTCCGAAGGCCGCCCAGCTGGAATTAGATCCACAGCAATAGGGCTTCAGAGCCTGCACTCTCACCACTAGGGGAGCTCTGTGCAGTGGAAGGACAAACCTAGAACCCAAAACTGTGGGTCCATGTGACACAAGGGCAAGCATGTCATTGCA